TGGTCAATTTTTGGAGGAATAACCATTATTCCTATCGTAATCGGTTTAGCTATTCTCAGTATTTTCTCCCACAGAACAACCAAGGTCAAGCTACATACCACCATTCCCGAAACCATTCCAAACGTTAAGGATCATCATGGAAAAACGGAGGCCAAGGAGATCACTCATAACTTCAAAAAACTTACAATAGCGGATATTATGCCCCTGGAGGTTCATCACTAAGGAGGGGCGAGTTAACGACCCCGCTACCTGGACTTGTACAAATTTCATCGACGGTGTCAGCAACTTCTATCAACACGGCAACAGCAGCATGGCATCGATCAGCAGAATTCGTCAACCCAGCAGCAGCGGCATCGAGGGCGATCGTTGCACTTAGTACTCATCGCGCGAGGTGCTGAGTGTGCAGAGAAGGTGAACTGTAGCATAATTCGATTATAATAAATCAGTCTTAGTTCAGTAGTGTAGCGGTTAAGTTGTCTTTTATATTTTTTAAAAAGAAACCCAGGTCGGTGGTTTTCTAACTCGCGTAATGGCATGATGCCAGGTCCGGCCAAAATAATGTCTCGCCTCCGTAGGACAGCAGGAAGGGCAACAGATGCTTCTGGAGGCACTCGGTGCGGTAAATTTCGCTGTTGATGGTACCCATTGTGATGTACGGTTTACTCAGTTTACCGCATTGGCATATGGCCTGCCAGAGCAAGTATTTTTTGGCGAATTTGTCCACTTTCTTCTTCCTTATGTCTTCCGGAACATCAAACCGTGATTTGGCAACGTAGAACTCCAGCCCCGGTATCTGCTTTGCGTCTGCCTTGATGTAGGTTTCGTCATCCATAACCACACACATCGGTTTCGTTAACCACTCTCGATACAGCTTCCTTGCGCGGGATTTGCCCGAAGCCCAGCTCGTTTCATGGTTTGCTGAACGAACCAGGCGGAACACTTTCCCTTCAGAGCCGCGTCGCGAATCGAAAGGTTCGGATTACGCTTGAAATAATCCAACACCTTCCGGGGCTTCACAGGGTCAGCTGTCTTCGATTTTCTTTCACTTCCAGCCCGCCGCTCGGACGTCTGGGACTCCTCAAAACGATTTTACCACCCGAGACACAGTTGTATGGGTGATTCCCAGTTGTCTTCCGGTCCATCTCATGGTCGCAGTCGGATTTTCCATGACTTACTTACTTACTTAAGGGTCCTGTGCACCACCAGCGGTGCAAAGGGCCAACGTGAAAGACTTCCATCGTGGGCGGCTGCTCGCTTTTGCCTTGACCTGGGCCCAGGTCAGATTTCTATCGACTTGCTTAATTTCCTTATTGAGGCTCCGCCGCCATGAGCCCCTGGGTCTGCCTCTGCTGCGATGTCCTGCCGGATTCCAATCCAGCGCTTGCTTGCAGATTTCGTTTCCACCCCGTCGAAGTGTGTGGCCGACCCACCTCCACTTTCGCTCTCGAATTTCTGTTGCTATCGGCTTCTGATGACATCGACGATGGAGCTCGGCATTCAAGATCCAGTTGTGAGGCCACCAGGCACGAATTATATACCGCAGGCATTGGTTGATGAAGACCTGCAGCTTTTGAGTGTTCTCCGCTGATACACACCACGTCTTGCTGGCGTATAACAACACAGATTTCACGTTCGAGTTGAAAATTCGGATTTTGGTGCGTTGACTTATCTGGTTTGCGTCTGCCTTGATGTAGGTTTCGTCGCAAACTCGCAAAGGCAGCCCTAGCCTTCTTGATTCGTGCACCTATGTCGCTCTTGGTCCCGCCGTCCGACGCTATTTGGCTGCCAAGATATTGGAAACTTTCGAGCTTCTCCACTGCTTGCCCCGCTACCGTAAAGTTGGAAGGGTTGCCCGTGTTGATATCCAACGATTTGGTCTTGTTGACGTTGATGGTGAGACCCGCCGCAGAGGAGCGTTCGGCTAGGTCATTGAGCTTACTCTGCATATCAGAGCGCCGTTGTGCTAGTAGAGCAACATCATCAGCCAAATCGAAGTCGTTGAGATGCTCCATGGTGATAGGCTGCCAAAGCAGCCCACGGTTCGGTACACGGTCAATTGCACCTACCATGATCTCGTCGATTACGATGAGAAACAGTAGCGGTGATAGTATACATCCTTGTCTCACACCAGCGACTACCCGGATAGGGTCGGACAAGGCTCCGTTATGCAGAACTCTGCACGTGAAAGCCTCATTCTGCGCTTCGATGAGATTGACGATTTTATCCGGGACTCTCTTGCGTCTCAGGGCGCCCCACAGATTCTCGTGATTGAGACGGTCGAAAGCTTTTTCGTAGTCAATGAAACTGGACTCTTGGAATTCATTGACCTGCTCCAGGATGATGCGGAGCGTGACAATATGGTCCATACAAGATCTTCCGGCACGGAATCCTGCCTGCTGCCGTCGGAGAGTCGCGTCGATCTTCTCCTGTATCCGATTCAGGATAACTTTGCACAGAACTTTGAGAACAATACACAGTAACATGATGCCTCGCCAATTGTCGCACACAGTCAGATCCCCCTTCTTTGGGACCTTCACTAAGATTTTCCATGACGGCACGCAAAATTCTCCGGCGATTTTCTTCTTGTTTCGATGACATCTCAATAACCACTGAACCGATTGTTATGAAATTTTGCACATGTAAACAATTCACTCCAAACTAGTTATACCCAGATTTTCATCAATTTTTACCCACGGATAAAAAAGTTACACACGGATAAAAATGGTGCATTTTTTTCGAGGACAAGCCTTACTAAAAATATGCCCTTTTCAAATGTTAATATCTCTGGTTGGGGCTCTCTCAATAATATGGAAAAAAAATAGAGGTACGTTATTTTTTAAATTCGTATATAATCAATTTGAATTTATTCATATTTTTTACTATAATTGGGTATATCTTTTTTATTAGAAGAGACTCAGACACCAACTTTTGCTATAAACAATCGTCTTAAAGAAGATGACTTTCAAGAGAAAATTTAAATAAAAAAAGTTAGTGCTGCACTGCTGCAGTGGTTCCCAAGGAGATGAATTTGGCCAATACTCCGGAACTAAGGCCAATTGAGGAATACTGGTAAATTTTGAAGCACATACTGAAGAAAAAGGTTGCAATTGCATTGATCTGAAGAATTTCAAGCGCAAATGGAATTTGGCAGCCAAACAAGTGGGAACAGGGCTCGTGCAAAAGATGATGGGCCGTGTACGAAGAAAAGTTCAACTGAAATAATGGTCTTACAGTAAGCATAATTCCTACTAATATATACAGTACTGGACAAAATAAACCATACGCTCAACCCAAAAAAGTACATCACTTCATATTTTTGCTATTTTGCACGCAATTTCAGCAGTATATTCAGAAAAGTTCAAGTATTTCTAATGATGCATTCAATTAGCTGAATGAAAATTGTTATAATATTCTGCTATTTTTGTTACAAATTTAAATAAATATATGCTCACTTTTGTGCTTAGACAAAATAAATCATACACTCCTAAGATTTTATTTTCAAGCCATCGAATAAAAACAAAATCTGAAGATTTGGCATCACAGCGTAATATTTGACAGTTCTTGTTCCGGGAAGCACCATTGTGTTTTGTTTGCGTCATTTGAAAAGTGAAAAATGTCGGAAAAGCAGATTTCGCTCCATGTTAGAAATTTGGTGATTCACGATCGTGAAAAAGGAATTTCTTTTCGGAAAATTGCCGAAAAGTACTCGATCTCAGTTGGAGCTGTTCAGCACATATGGAAAAATTACGAAACACGAGGCATATTACGGAAATATCATGGTATGGGGAGCATTTGCGTGATCTGGTGTTGGAAGCTTGGCTAATATAAAGGAAATAATGACTGCAGATGTGTACATTGACTTGTTAAGTGAAAATACGGAAGTTTCGCTACTGAAAACTGGCCTGGAATCCAATTACATTTTCCAACAAGATAATGACCCAAAGCACACAGCGAAGAAAACAACGGCATTTTTCAAATCAAATCGGATCAAAACGCAGGAATGGCATCCCCAATCTCCCGATCTCAACCCAATTGAGAATGTTTGGTCTTACTTGGACAACAAAGTGGATAAAGGATCGATGGGAGCGTGGGAGAATATAGATTCAGGATATCTACAAAACCTCGTCGAAAGTATGCCAAGACGGTTGGAAGCAGTGTTGAAAGCAAAGGGTGGTCATACCAAATACTGAGAGTGTTAAAATGTAATTTGAAAATTGAATTAAGCAAGAATTTTCAATAAAAAATCAGGCGTATGATTTATTTTGTCCAACTCGAAATTCTCCTTTTACAACAATCATTTATAAGATGATTGAGAAAGTCATACAATATATTGAAGTATTGCAGAACAAACCATTAATGTATGTTTGAATCTACCTCGAGCTCAAAAGAAAAATTATATGGGTGTATGATTTATTTTGTCCAGTACTGTAGCTGTTATATTGAACTATGAGAAATAAAACGCATTTTGAAACCCCAACAAGATTTCCGTGACCGGATTTTTTCCTTTATTCTAAGGAGAATTCCAAGTGAATTTTCAGAATAATTTAGAGGAAGACTTCAAGCTAATTCTGAGAAAAAAAAATCCTATACAATTTGGAGCTGAACTGCATGAGAAATTGAACGAATTTTAAATAGAATTATTGAATCAAAGTTCAGTGAACTCTTGGAATAATTATTTCAAAAATCAAAGATAATCTTAGTATGAATTTCGTGAATTTTGTGGAATCTTAAGCAGAGCATTTTTGGACTGTACGATAGAATTTAAGGGGCTCCCAGAGAGAATCTTACATTTATTTTAAAAGAATTCAGAAAATAACACCGTGAAGGGGAAGGATTCTAGAGGAAATTTTTAAATAACACAACTACCACGACCCAAAACTGCCCTTAAAAAGCATACCAGTCCCATCTTTGCTTGGTTTCCTATTCCACTGTTTTGCATTTATTGGTAGCAAACATCTTAAAATACTACGCATTTTTCAATGTAACGAAAGTATACTCACCAAAACAACGCCACGCACTAAAGACTATTAGCTTCTCGGCATACACACTATCCTAAATTATTCAACAAATAACACTGTATATTTCACCACAGAGTATTACACTACACACAATTTAACTATACACATAACCTAATTCAAAATCGACCTTCGTCTCTTCACACTTCAATCGTGCAGCAACACTAATTACAGGAATAATGCCCCATCGGTTTCAGATGCAAGACTCGAGCCACCCACTACTCATCGATCAGCTCGTACGCATTCACGTAGCACTTCCTCTCGCTTGTTTTCCTATTTGGAAAATATTCTGCTCCCAATATGCGTTCCAAACACTTCAACACATCAGCACACACTACGGTTCTTCATCAACGGCAGTAGATTGAATCATTCAGTGGAGCTGAAAATTAAATTTCCAAAACCTAATGCGTCAAATCCATTCCCGGTCGGACGGAAATTTCATTGGACATCCAGTCAAACATGCTATCCATAATAGCTCATTCTCCGTTGTGTGATTCGGCTCACGTCCTCGCCATTCATCCATCTAGATCTAGAATGCGGAAACGTCCACCCTCACCTCTTTGGTATTTACGTGTTTCACAACGCCCTCTAATTAAGATCAATTTTTACGAGCAGAATACATTCTCCTTTTCTGACACGTCGGCGGTAAACACCATCCTGAAGCTAACCGTTCAGCGTAGCGTAGCGGTCGGTGTGCTGGGATATGCAATTGTAGTTCTTCTTATTCTTACTTCTCTCTGACGGATGGGCATTGCTCATCCACTGCTCCCCAGTCCCCTTGCATCGTAGAGGTGAGATCAAAATACAAAACATACATTTTCCTCTTTCGCTGCTAGGATAAACAACTTTTCTCACCGCAGGGGTATCTTACGGAGAAAACTAAATGGAAAGAAGGAAAGGATGGACAAAAGAAATATTTTTTTACCTACTCCTAAAATGAATTAAATCCACTAAAAGAATTGTGGTCATTGTGAACTTTGTGGAAAGAATCTGGAAACTTTCGAAAGATTTATCTCATACCGACAAAAGTAAGAGGAAGAATCATAAATCGATTAATAGAGGCCAACCAGCCGAAGGCTGAAAGCCTTTTTAATCAAGAAACTAACAAAACGATCTAAACTTGTACATTACAAAAACTGTTGTAAACATTTCATTCACTAAGGATGTAAAAATGGCCTTCCATAACTCAGTCGGCCTGGGCAAAGCTACAAAGCGAGACCCGCAGATAAACATGAGAGTACCACGTACACCCGACGAAAAACGCTTTTCACATTATTTCAATTTCTCGCCTAATTCGTTACACAGTAACGACTTGATTTTAGCTTATTCGTCGAACAAAGTTTATTTCCCCAAATGCGCTGCAGCCATAAAGTCTAGATGACTGGTTGTGATCGAAAATAGTCATTCTAGAAAAACTTGCTTTTACGCTACAGTCCCCGGTTAGAACTGACACTACATTTTGTCGTAAAAAAAAGCAGAGGACGTAAGAAATCCATCCACGGGTTTTGTACACTCATAAAATAAATCAACCAGTGGATAATATTTACGCTCAGCCAATGAGAACGACCCAAATTTGAGTTAAGTTTACTGATAATCGCAAAAAGTGCAGGAACTCAGCGATTATTAAATTTGTCCAAAGGTTTTCCTGTGGAAAACCTCAAAAATCTGCCGGAAAATGAGGAAAATTTACGAAAATTTTACTCAGTCTAGAAGAAGTACTAGTAGGGCTAGACTGAGTGAATCCAATCTTTTCTTTTCTCATATTCGGGCATTTTTTTCCTGGACAAACCTGGACAGACCTGGAAAAACATGAGGCAAGTTTATTCATCGGTGAGTTCCTCCACTTTTTACGATTTATGAGTAAACTAAACTCAAACTTGAGTCATTCTCATTGGCCGTGATCTCTTAGTTGGAAATTGCACCACATGGACCATATGCCTTCAATGAAATCCATATGAATACCCACATGAATTTATTAGCTTATGTGATATTCAGATAAAAATCATTGATTTTGTAATTCGAAAAATATTATCTGCATTCCCAATAGAACCTATGTGCGAACTTGATTCAGTGTAGAACATTGGTAAAGATTGTCAAAAAGGGGGCTGACAAAATTGTGTCATTACTGTATTGGTACGATTCTACATCCAAGTAACTTGCTTGGAAGAATATTCAATCGCTAAGTATAATTTTAGCAACCGGAAGTGCATTCAAAGTGTTTTTATGTTACTTCATACGCGAAATTTGCGATTTTCAAAGTTGGTTGGAAATGCTATCCAACATGAAGCTTTAGTGTGATAATTTATTAGCTAGAGAATGATCTTAGAAGAGGGTAGGTAGATAGTTCCCTTAGAGTACGGCAGTATGAACATTGGATAGAAGTTGAAAATGAGCGAAGGGCCATTAATGCGACAGTGCAAGTCAAACGCACACTCTTTGCGATTTTAATTGTTTCTGTGAAAATCACTCGAAAGAATTAATTTTCCTATGCTTATTCACTGGATGACGCGGAGACGGATCTCAAAATCTAACCATTTTAGAACTGTCAAATCGAACTAATTTTTTACTCTCCCAGTAATACACGAGTATTGCATTTCATCAATTTAGAAAAGGTAGGCGTAGGACCGCTAGTGGACGGAACAAATATGTTGGGCCTTTAGTTCTTTTAATTGATCGATACATAATCTATTATCTTTACTCTTCCTCAACGCTTACACCATTGCACAGCGGTTGAAATTTTACAGGTGATCAATGTTGAAGTCAGCCTAACGGAATGACTGCAGTGGAACAGATGGTGAAGCTACTCAGAGAGCCTCCGATGTCCGCGTCCTACAGGGTCCTCCAGGGAAACTACCATTTTGGATCGAAGCGAACAAACTGGTGTGCTTGGGTATCTCCAGAGACAGTGGGCTCAGTTGGCTTTCCTGGCAGCATCAATACGCAGGTGATCATTGTAGTCAAACTCAGCTGTGCAACGTTAGGAGGATGTCGTTGCCGTTGGTAATGCTTTTCATTCCGATGTCCGCGTCCACTTTCTTGGTCTTTCAAATTAGTTGTGTCCCCACAGCTAATGGAATCGCAACTGATCATGTTCACTGAATTACAGTCTGTTTTATATTTGCAGAATAGCTAATTATGCCCCTCCATTTTTTGGAGTATTTTTTGTCAGAGCGTTCCTGTGGTACATTAGAAGCGTTTGAAGCCTATTGTTGTGTATGGAGGTCTCTATACACAGGCTCCTAACGCTTCTAACATATCGCAACAATAGGACTGCATTCACATCAGACCAAGACGTGCTTCGACCAGCATTGAATTGGATTGTTATGAAAGAACAACTAGCGCTACTAGACTCTTTCACACCAGTGTAAGTTGCATGCCGACCCGATGCTGGCGGCCCAGTCATGCTGCCTTTTGCGGGAAGCCTTTCCTCCGGTCAATGTGAGTGCATTCGTCGTCGTCGTCTTCGTATTGGTGCAATGCGTGCTGTTCCACTCATAAGTTGTGTCCGACCGAGACGGCTAATACAAAGGTGCCACAGTCGGAAGAAGTGTTAGTTTGTTTACTTAAATGTACCATGCCCATTTTGTTATGGCATGTTTGCTATAAGAAATGCGCCTCGTGTTTATTAGCTAATTTCACATCAAAGATTGATTAATTGAGTAGGAAATCAGTTTGGCACGGCATTTGTGACCAGCATACACCTTCCGGTAGTATGAAACAAGTCAAAAACTGTTCAAATCCGCAGATAAAATTTTTTGTTTTGAATTTCTGTATAGCAAAATAGTGAACTTCTCGTGAACATTAACGGCAAAGAACTCACCAACACTGGGAGACTGTGAGTTCCTGCCCAGCTGTCATAAAACCGTCTTGGTGTCCGACGCCTATCCGTCCGTTGCTCGAAAGTAAATGACGAAGAAAACAATAAGGCAAGCGTTTTTACTACCGCTGCTTTTCTCCTCCCTTCCATTCATTGGTGAAATGGTGAGCGGTCAACCGAGTGGTGAGCTCGCTCATGTGAGGATGCGCAATGTCTAGTGTGCTCGATTTGCGCTCTATCGTTACGTTCGTGTTTGGGATTTTTCGTTACATGTCTGGATTTTGATTTTTTTTTTAATGTGACTCCCAGTATAGAAATGAAAGACGTAGTCCTACGTCAAAAATACTCAAGACCACCTCGAATCATTCTATTTATAAAAGGATGTAGTGCACATGCAAACCACATTTATTCAAATAACATCGAAATCATTTCTGTAAACTTTATGATCAAACAATTGCTCATTTTCGCTTTTTGATGCAATACGGCCATTTAAGTACAAATACCTAAATATAATCAAGAAGATTTTTTTCATGTTGCAGTGGCGTCTCGTCCATATGTGTACCTCGTGCACTGCACAGTCTCGAATTTTCAAAAAGTAAAATTTATATTTCATAAAAATTAAGAGGCAAAAATTTAATACTCAATTAAAACCATTTTTGTCCGCCCTATTTATTGGTTTCATATGGATAGTAACTGAATTATCCACAACATCACTGGATAGGAGCTGAATTGTTTACCACATCGCTGCTCAACCTTCGTTTTACAGAAAACAGAAGCGAGGCATAGCGATCTTGTTTTCACGTTTTCACTGGGATTTTACCACGTGCAGACAACACTCTTTTTGGGCTTCTATGGCGAATGAGCGACACAAAACAAGCAAGGAAAATATGCCTTCGTTCTACCAAAGCCACCGCATGCTTAGTTCTCCCAGTCTGAGCACTTATGCTTGTGCACCAGAAACGTTCGAATTTACAACCAGATCAGTTGTATATGTATTGAAGTCACGTAAGCATAATTGCCGCTGTGTTAGTGTTTATTTTGTGCACTTCTATCTTTGCACAGTTTAAAGAGAAGAGAATAAATTGGCACGTATAGGCAACGTCGCATTTGAGTTTCTCTCTGAATTGATTGAACTTGGAGAGCCGGCATTCGTTGTATACCTACCTACACGCACACATCGAATTTTTAAATTTTTAAATTTTCTCACTACCATGTCTGCATTTCATTCAGTAGCCTCAGTGCATTGATGGAATATTGTTCATACCATAGTGCAAAATTAAATAGGAATCATGGAACAGGATATTATTGATGACCTCCTGAAAAGACCGTTTGCCAGAAGATCCATGGAGGAATAAATGCTTATTGCGAGAATAGACGTCCCACGACCAAAGTTGGACAACTTGAAAACGACATGTAAAAGAAATGGTAAAATCATAACGCGGAACTTTGCCGAAAATGGACAAGTGGAAATTGTTGGTTGTGTCATGCTCGAGGAAATTGCGCGGGATGTGGAGCATTTCGAGGAAATCGCAATTGGCATCAACTCTACGCTACTGCTTAGG